GAGAGAGAGAGAGAGAGAGAGAGAGAGAGAGAGAGAGAGAGAGAGAGGAGAAATACTAAACTCTGACCATTTCATATATCTAATGATTCTGCCCAACTTTATGTTAGAATACATGTAGACCTTTAGTTGACTATATACTGGAGCAATCTTAACATGTTTGTCCCACTTTTTTAAAATAACTTTTTGAAATTTTATTTTTAATACATGTATTTACTTTATGTATATGAGTATTTAGGTTCAACATGTGTGTACAGTGCCCACAGAGGTCAGAAGAGGTCATTGGACCACCTGAAACTGGAGCTATGGATGGTTGTGAGTTACCATGTGGATGCTGGAAACAGTCGAGGCTCTGCAAGAACAACATGTGTGCCTAACACTGAGCCATGACTCCAGACCTTGTCCCATTGTTCTTAACAAATATAAAATAATATTTTGTATGACAGAGGTTCTCTCTCAGTTGATGGAGTATTTGCCTAGCATGCACAGAACCCTAGATTGACCCCCTAGTGCAGTAAAAAGTGGGGCCATGTGCATGTCTTTAATCCTGTTATTTAAGTCAAGCCTGGCCATGTGAACTCAATAAGCCAATTAAAAGCTAGATTAATAGTGGGAAGCAGAAAAATGGTGATCATGAAGGGATGAAGACACACTTTGGGGGTGTCTCCCCTCAGAGTGAGCTGCCTGCAGTGGAAGGTAAAGATGGACGTTCCCAGCAACTGCTGGAGTCATTTTCCTCTTTTCCTTCACCTTTACTTGGTGAAGCAGAAAAATATGTTTGGACATTGAATAAATCTGCTTTCTGCTGTTAAGTCATCTCTTTTAATTGGCTTATTGAGTTTGGGTAGCCAGACCTGATTTGGGGCACAGGCTGTAACCCCCAAGTTACAATCCCAGCACTCCCAGCTGGGGATATGAGTTAGGGAGTAGGTGGGTAGAGGCAGGAGGAAGATCAGAGTTCAAGGTCATCCTCTGCTACATAGGAAGAGTTGTTTGAGGCAGTGTGGGCTGTGTAAGACCCAGTCTCCAAAAAAAAAAAAAAAAATGCTCTTTGTAATAGAGATGCAGGAAATAGCATAACTAGTCTGATAAGACATTTTTATTTCCTTTTCTATTCAGAATCATTGTGACATTGAACCTAGCTATACACTAGTGTTCTGTAGATACATGTCTTTCCACAGGTTTAAAAAGCCAGAAATGGCATTTTTTTTTTTTTTTTTTTAGCTCAAAGGGGCGTGCACATTGTAATTTGTGGTAGATGCTGCCAAATTTTCCTGGAAAGAATGCCTTAATTTCTATCTTTTCAAGTAATATTAAAAGATGTCTTAATTTATAAGTAAAAAGTGTTGTTTTTATTCTAATTTTTCCTAATTTTAAGTGAGCTGAGATGGCCTCTGTTAATCACTGGTCTGACTTCTCTTAACTGCCCAGGGTCACTTACCAGTTTTTCATTGGCTGTGCTCATGTGTGTGTGGCTTCTAGGGTCACTAAATTCCCATTGTGTGGGGTCTCTTGGGCACCAGGTTTCAGACTATAACAGTCTCTGATTAAAAGGACGTTTCTTTTGGACAAGAGAAAATTTTATATCCCAGAAAACAAAAGATGAAGACAGAATAATTAAAGATCAGCCTGGCTCTCATCTCCTGGGTCTTTTGGAGAAAATTGATCCTAAGTTAAAATTTTAAAACAGCCACCAACACACGTAAACAATTGAAATGCATCCATTTGGTGTTGTCAGCCTATTAAAGGAAGGTCTAAGACTACGGTGGGTCCAGGACCGAGGCCTGTGGAGGAGTAACTCTTCGGGGTTAGTGTGGCTGCAAGGGAGGAGATCATGAGGAACCTGCAGTGGCCACTTTCCAAAGCAGTGCATGACAGAAGTGACCAGCAGGTACACTGCTGTGAGACTCACTGTCTGGCTGCCCTTTGCAG